CAGATAATATTTTTACCATTTAATACTATGTGATAAAAACAGAATTTATTATATTTTATAATATATATACTAATTTATATATTTATATTCATATAACATTTTCACTTTATTATAAAAACCTAAATCGTGATCAACCTGACCGCTATTTTTAAAACCACATCCAAATATGCTTTATATATCCAAATAAAACCTTCCAAATATTTATAGCAATTTTCCGCTCAGTGCCTTTGCATAGAGCCTTATTTACATGTTGGCAACAGATGTGGCCTGTGGACGAGGGCCGGGCCTATGACATTCGACCATCAAAACTCAATTACCGGACTGGGGTGTTGCCCGGGGCGGACTTTATTAAATTTTCGTTTGTCTATTCGGAAGTTTCTCGGTTAGATGGACAGTGCCGGGATGGTGGGAGCTGGCCAGCAGCCAGTAGGCGCAACCTGACGGTCAAATTATTATGAAAACTTGTAGCCGAAAACGCGCCAAAAACACAATATCGCAAAAAATAAACGTTTCTATCAAAGGTTATGCCCAAAAAATAACAAACAACAGTCTGAAATTGCGCAATTCCTATGTTTGTATAAAAAAAAAATGTTACGCTGGCTGTTGAAAAATAAATAAACTGGAATATGGATTCGATTTTTATTCTTGGCTTTTGTTTCTTTGTTGCATTCATGGAATTGCCTAGATCAGGAATGTCCTTTCAACTTATATCCACTGTCTGTCATCTGTCTCCAAAGCCATTTGCTTCATGACATTTTCAGCAACTTGTTATTTAGCATTATTTTGCCTTAATTCCTGGTAAACGAATATTTCTACACAGAATTTATTGAATAACAAGTAAAATAGGGAAATGCCTCAAGAACAGTAGACAGCTTATATATACAGGATCTTTACCAAGAAAATTAGGGAAATTACGGTGAACTAACCGTAAATTTATGTATACATATGTATATCCTATATTTTAAATATGAATATTATTGGAAAGATTTTAAATAATTTATTTCCGATACTTTGTACCGAAATATTTTAAGTGCATTGTTTCAGTTCCTAAATGTGAAATAATATACTCCAAAGAAATATATTATCAATAACAATTTTTTTAGAAACAAAATAGTGGTTTTAGCTTTAATTTCTATTTTGAAATAATGTTCAAAATAAAAAAAAGGGTTACTAATAATTCTCGTTACTTGCATAAACAATAAAAACCCAAACAACCCACTTCCATCTTAATACTTCCAGGGAATGAAAATTGAAAATAACGTGTTAATATTTAATCAAAGGCACAACAACTTAATTAGCTTTAAATGGGTAATCAATGCAATGAATTATATGGCCCGCACCTCTCCACACTTTCCTTGAATTCATCAAGGCTTGTAACTTGAAATCTCCCTAATGAAATCGACTTCAATGGCCCATGTAAATGCATTGTCCAATCAATTAAATTAAATGATTTAAAGTGCTTAAAACTCACAATGCAGAATATTTTTTTGGGGAATGGGAGTGGGAGTGGGAGGAGAGTAAGCCGCTTGAGAAAAGCAGGAACCGCAAAAACAAAAGTCGCATTAAGTGCGTATTATAATTAACTGTGGGGCCTTCAGGCCCTACTGATGAGTGGGATCCCCGGAAATTCCACATTAATCACACTCTGGGCTACTGTTTGGGGTTAGTAAGCTGTCACCAGCAATCCTATCCAATCCAAGGCTTATGCGTATTGGCATTAATTTTGCAAAAACATTTCCAAAAACATTTCCGAAAAATGACCTAACCAACTGGCGGGCAATTAGCGGAGGTCCTGCTCCACTGGGAAAGCGATCAAATCAAATGCTCTGGCCGACTAGGACTGAGCTCTGCCAAGGACCAATATTCATTGTTTAATTATGCAAACGTGTGCGAGTTCGGGACACCAATTAGGCCTAATTACTCACGTTCGTTAGATGTTGAATTGCAAAATTCGCACCGAAAATCAAGTCTCTGCTCGTACATTTATTCTACCAATTGTTTAGACTTTTGTATTTAATTAGCACATACATTTTGTTTGTTTAAATTTGCCGGCAATTGATATACCCGGTACTCTGAATCAAAGGGGTATATGTGTTTTTCGGTAATTGAACAAAAAGGCGGAGTAGGGTATAAATTAGTCCTTAGAAAATATATAGATATGTTTATGATAGATCTACGTAGACATTTCTTAGTAAAAAGCTTCTGTCGAAAAAAAACTCCACTATAAAAATAATTTTTTTCATGCTGTCTGTGGAATATTTGGGTATTTTTACATACATCCCCGATTCCCCACAGGCACAATTCCGGATATTAGCCATGGGGTTTTTCAAAAAGGAAACTGGAAAGAAAAGACAAAATATCAATCTGTACAGAGATTTCTTGGTCTTGAGAGAGATTATTCGGATTTGCAAAATATATTGGAAAATTGGTAAAATATAGACAACTTTTACTCACGGAACAAGTTCAAGAACTGAAGAGTTCTTTTAGATCGTTGTCCATGATACCAAAATGAAACCAAGGTCATCTAAGAAATCTAAATCCCAAGTTATAATCCATTCTGAGCAATCTTTAAATCCTTTAGGGATACTGGATCTGGTTGGATGGAGGCATTTTAAAGAACTGCCTGCAGTTTCATATAAGCATGATTAATAACACATCTAAGGAATATGCAAATGGACTTTAAAAAATTAAATTTTATAAGAAAATATATCGAACTACTGAGATTTTAATACAATTGCTGCAAAATGTTTGTTTTAGATAATACAAAAAAACCAAACTTTTTGGCTAAAAATGGATAAGTAAATGCTGAAAATAAAAAGTCAGAAGGATTATTTGGACTTGCTGTAAAAAAAGCCAAGACATCACAGTGCTCACAGTAATGAAACTAAGATGTTTTAAAATATCCATTGGATGAAAAAATTGGATCTTGTTGGATGGTAGTTTAATCCTGACATCCAGACTTAAATATATGTAATCGGCTATGTCGGGTAAAAGTGGGTGGATAAATTATTTGTCGGATTAGATGGAATGTTAAATTATTATCCTTATCTCCTATTTTTTCTCACAAATTTTAAAAAGATCGCAATATTATATAGCATTCAAAATCCTCTTAACCTTTTTCTTAGAAGCACTGGGTATCACATAGTCGTTAATCTCAGGTATAGCTGACAAAGCTGTTTAGCTTTCGACTAAACAGAAGATAGAATAAATTTGAAAGTGTTCGACAGCATGACAGGCCGGAATATAAAACTAATTAAATGAAAGGGAAATCTGGCTTAGAAGCGATTGAAGGTTATTGCTAGATTCCGTGGTATACTTGTGTCCTTTTGTCCTTTGCAGTTTCCTTTAAGTTGTTACCTTCTGTGGCAGGTTGTTGCCTGTCGGAAACAGGGGCTGGCAACTATGTGGCTGCCACATTCTGATGCCTTTGAGCCACCGATCCCTTTATCCCTGCATCCTTCCTTCCTTCGACGCCCTCCGCTCCTGCCGTTCGTCCTTCCGCATTATGCGGATGCACTGGAGCATGTGAGTGATGGCATAGCTGGCATGCTTACTTTTCTTTTTCCCATCACGGCCATCCAGCAAGGACTCTCCTCCGAGTCCTTCTTCTGCTCTCCTGCTCTCCTGCACTCCTGTCTCCAGTCCTGTTGTCTCCTGTCTCGGGCTCTCCTTGCCAGGCAATTTGCACTTTGCAACCGGCTGTAATAACCCCAAGAGCTCAAAGCAAAGACTTTTCTTCCTTTCCACCTCCGAAAAGTGCCCAAAAAAAAATAGCAAATGCGAACACCCAAGTAACTAGAAACTGTTGCCAAGTTGAATCAAAATATATACATATTTTCGTCGGAGAAGGGATTTTCTCTAATTTAATTTAGACAACTATCTGGAAAAAATATTGTTTTTCTGAAAACTTTGTATGCTTCTGTTGCAACTGTTATTCAGAAACTTTGTTTTTCGCAAAATTAACTCCTAAACTTGACTGTCTTAGAAACAAAAAAAAAAGAAAATATTTCATCAAGGTTTTTACGATCTTAAACTTACACATAAAGAGGTGAGAAGCTGGCATATTCTTAAAAGTGGTACAGATTTCTGTTACTTACAACTGGTTATGTAAATATTCCTTTTTATTTTTAATATTTTTTTAAAAGATAAAAAAAAATGTAACTTTTAAATTCTAATTCTTTTCATTTCAAAATCTTCAAATGAAAGTTCATAATTCATATTAATGATAAATTGCAATAAATATTCTTCAGTATATAAATATATTTTTAATGTTAATAGGTAGGCAATTAATTATAATAAGTAAAAGTAAAAATTATCTAATAGATAAATCGTTCTACCTTTTGGTAAAGGAAAGACACTAAGTCCCAGTAATGTTAACTCGGGGCAAAAACAACCAATATTCAAGAATTTTGGTTAAAAGATACTAATGGCGAACACCTTACTAATTTAATTTTCATTTGAAAACCCAACATTTGAAGAATATTCTTGTCAATTACTATTGAGAAATATTCAAAATTGGACGAGTTATAGTAAAGCCCTCAACGCTTCTTGAAAAATTGCTCTGCAAAAAAATGCTCCATTCAGAAGTATGAATATGCATAGTAACCATTAGTAACCTTATTAGTTCTCCCAAAAATCTTTGTCATCCATTTTAAAGTAAATTTTTTAAACACTATTAAAATTTGTCTATAGTTATAATTGTAGATGTTGGTTTGTTTGAGATATTGGGTACTTATAAAATTTTGATTGTAAGTCATTAAAAAAAGCTAACGAGTTTTGTTTTTATCAAAAGCTTTACAATGGTGGTAAACAGTAATAATCCTAAATGCTTCAAACATTCTTTTATGCTACACTTTTTATATTTTTAATTAATTTTTGATTCACAGAAGCAACTGATAGAAAAATAACTTCTTTTAGCAAAAACCTAAAAAGAACGTAAGTGCCATTGTTACACCTACAAGTTTAAAACGTATTTTATTGCCTAACCTTCACCCAGTTGGCTTCGAATGAGTCGACATTTGCTTCAATGTCCAACGTATATTTTTTCATCGCTCCCCAATACAATTCGAAAACTCCTCCAAAATGATGGAGGCACGTCGCCAGGAGCGACAACGTCGGGAATCGGCAAAGGCAACGGCGGCGAGCTCCCTGCCCTCCAGCCAGGACGAGGAGTTCAATCTGCGACTGGTCGACCTGTACGGAGAGCAGTCCTGCCTGTGGAACACCTCGCTGCCGGAGCACGAGGACGTCGAGCTGAAGCGCGAAGCCTGGGAGAAGATAGCCAAGGAGTTGGGAAGCCACTTGACGGCTGCTTTTGCCAGGAGTCGGGTGCACAGCATGCGGCATCAGTTGAACGTGTACAAGCTACAGATGATCGAGTACCAGATGACGCCCGGGATCGGCAAGGAGCCGGAGAAGCCCTATTACGTGGATCGGTTTGCTTTTCTGGACAAAGTGCCCACTTCGAGTGGCGATGACACCGCACGAAGTGAGACAACGAAGTCCTCCAGGAGCTCCGACTCGGAAGTTTCACTTTTCCGCTGGTCCAGGCCCTTGGTGGGCGTTACACGTAGTGCCATACCCAGTATCGCTGGTATGGTCAGGGAGCGGTTGGAGGAGTCCCGGCAACTGCCTGTTCCCCTACACATGGCCTTCCCCCGTCTCCAGCTCAATCGGATGCGGAGGACCGCCATGAGGGAGCCCAGTTCTGGGTCCTCCAGTCTGGAAATATCCGATGTGCCGCCGACCTTGCAGGCCCGTCCGGGCGAGTCCGTGTCCAAGACCAAACTGTCCACGGACAAGATGCGGACAAAACAGAAACAGGAGCAAAACAGGGAGGCGGAGTCCGAGGACGACGAGCTCTACAACTTGCACTGGGAAGTGAGAAACCAGCAGCGATCCTTGCGCAACGGGCAGTCCCCATTGGCTGGCTTGCCCGCCGGCGAAAAGGATATATTTTAAAGGATAATTTTGAGCCAAGAACACCGCCATCTGTAGCCAAAAGCCATTAAATTGTTCTCGAACGTATTCTCTCTAGGGTCCCCCCAGACCCTAGTCCTTCGACCTTAGCTCGTTTGAAGTTTGATTAATTCCCAGCAAACCAACCAGCCTCGACCAGGATGTGTGTGTGTGTGCGGCCATGATATATGAATATTTGCCACAAGGATATAATAAAAAGTCCTGACGCTAACCAAGAACTCTTGCCGCAAATCCAAAAAACCACCGACAGAAAATTACTTTCTGGCTGCCAAAACAAATTACGAAATTACTTTCAGAAATTACACACACACTCACACGTGATAAGGACGCGAACGATGGGTAGGATGGGCGTTTAGCCACGCCCACCCAAGGACTTCCGCCTCCTCTGGCAAGCGTTTCTCATTAGCGTAAAAATTAAATTTAATTTCCTCCAATAAACCCTGTAAGTCAGTAAGCCAGTAAGCGTTTTCCCCTTTTTGATTAATTGATTGATTAAATTAGTGACGAATATCCTGCCGAAAAGGACTCTGACCTCAAATTTCCTGCCCTGTCCTGCCCTGCCTTGTCCCGCCCTTCGATACAAATAATTACAGATTAGATTACGGCAAGTAAGGACTGGCTTTCCGGTCCTGCAATTTCCTCTGACCATTTCCATTTACATCCTGACTTGCCACCGACCTTGAAGGAATGCAAAATTATGTGAAAATATGCAAACTGCGTGCGCGTTTTGCCGAAAACTGTGAGCACGTCCGCATATGAAGAGACATCCTGCTGCCCCGCCTCCAAGGACATCATCATCATCCTGCCCGGGTCATTAGCATTCACCAGGCATTCATTCGACATTCGGCAGGGCGACTCCAGCCGCCTCCTTTGCCGATTAGCCTGTCCGCATCCTACTTCGTCGTCTCTCGTCCTCAGTCCTTAACAGACATTGCTATTATGACTTAATTAAAAAATAATATTTTTGCATTTTATTATTTCCGCTAGGGTCCTAGCAAAGGACTCGAGCACTGCCCGTCTGTCAGTGGATCGTAGAAGGCATGTCCTTTGAGGGTATCAACTATTCGCTTTGGCTATATTCCAGGCGATACTCATGGGGTAGAGGGGTATACAATAATGGATACTTGGTTTGCCACAGGAATCAATAAGTTCTGGGGAGGTCCTTAATGATTTTTTTAGAACTTTCCCGGGCAGTATTTTATTAACCATTATAAGTTTTTCACAAAGGTAATTTTTGGTACATTTACATTTAACATAAAATAAGAAAACTTAGGGTGTTTCTTTCTTTATTATTGCTTAAATTTCCAGGTATTACCAAAGAATAAAATACTAAAGAATAATTAAACACAGACAAGATTTAAAAGCCCTGCGAATTATATTTATTTACATTTATTAAACAAATAAAAAGATATTAAAAAATGCGAAAGAACCGAACATAAAGCATATGTTTCGAGTACCGGGTTTCAGCTTTAGCTTTAGCTTTCATCATATGGTCTTTAGTCTCTAAAGGTCACTAAACTGTAAGTACCCCAAGTACCGGGTATCACTTAGTCTGGACTGCTGACTGGAATATTGAATGCATTAACGTAGTTGAAAATACATTAATGCTTAGAAGGATCTACGTATAAATAACAATTTCATTCCATTTACTTTTTATTTTGGGAACTGAAAAGATGTGCCCCAATTACCGGGTATTATAAGAGTCCAGACGACCGACCCTTTTATTTTTGGAATGTCAATGGATGCAAAACTGAGCAACTGTCGCAGTTATTTGAGGACTTTTATGTGTGGGAGGGAGGCTTACCTCGACTCGAACACACAGCATGTACATACAGTTCTTTATGTATATGAGGCTATACATATATTTGGAATATCTACATATACAAATTCCTGTATAGTTGTAGTCTGCGGCCGGAGCAGTCACTAAACTTGCCGTGTCATCGTCATGTCATTCATTTGCATTTCAGAAAAAGTTGGCAGTTCGCGAGGTTCGCCAAAAGCAAACACCCCACAAAACGGTGGCAAGGAGCGGCAGGATCCTGGATACCAGGACACCAGGACACCAGGACACCGTTCACCGTACCGCATACAGTACTCTCCGGATGATTAAGTATTAGTGGGTATGCCAGAGACCTATGTGTGTGAGGTCTGTGTGTGTGCGTGTCTCTGTGCCATGAATACAAATGGAAGGCGGCGACTGTGTCATGCCTCCTGTCTCCTGACATGTTGCGACTTTAATTGCCCAAGAGCTGTTACATTTTGATTAGCATCTCAGGAAATGGAGACCGAATCCGAATCCGAGTCAGAGCCGGGGCAGGAGAAGGAGCAGGACACGGACTACAGTATGGTGTGCTGTTGACAATACCGATTCCCCCATTAACTGAATAATGGACAAATACGAAGCGAGGGGCCAGTGCTATCGCGTAACTAAATAAAATAATTTTATTATCTTGGACTTAAGACAGTTAATTATTTTAATTTTATATGGTATTTAATCACTAAAAAGCTCAAAAGTTGTGTAAATTTTATTTTAAAAATGTTCTTACAAAGTAATGCCTACAAAAATATTAAACCATAAATTCGTGAGTGATTACCTCCTTTTTTATTCTCCCTTTGAAAAAATAAAACTATAAATTAAAAGAGAAATCGGCTTGTTTCTGGTTTTAAGCAGAGCTTTATTTTGGAAATATACAGGAATTAAAACAAGTATTTTTGAGGGATCTAATTGGATTCCCCCCCTTATCAAGGACACGGTGCACGGATGCGCGTTAATCACCCGATGCCGTGTTAATGCGCCGCAATTCCCATTAATCGGATTACGTGGCAGACAAATTACGGGGATTCGGCATGGAAACCAATACAGGACTCTGGTTTCCCTGCTGGCATCAGGCTCTGGCTGCATTAAGTGGCCGAAAATGTAATCAAGCGGAGTTGCAGGTGCAGTGGCAAGGACGAAAACGACTCCAGGAGTCCTGGGGTCCAGGACAGCAGGTAGGCGATCGTCCGTAAGGAATGCCAATTATAGGAGGTTCCTACTGAAAAGTAATTTGCATGGACGACTGTCAAAGAGCAAGAACTCGTCAGAATCAGAATCAGAGTCGGAATCGAATTGGGATTCAATTTGGAACCCGGCCATACCGCCACGAGGCGTATGTATGTGAAATCGGGGTTTTGGTTTGGCCACCGGACCTTGGGCATTGGGGACTTTTGGACTGTCGCTGGTCGGAAAGTTTTTGCGTAAAAGGGCCCTCCCTACTTTTGGCCAAAAATACTTTTGGTGCAAATATTTCAAACTCTGGCCATTTCTGTGGCAAATGAGCAGGCGCAGGGGCAGGAGCCTCCACATACTTTGCTGGAATGGAAATCGAAGCTGAAACAGAAACACAAAACTATTTCAAAAAGAAATTGCTCATACGCACTGTTGCCCAGTGGCCGTTTATACTTTGCTTTGCAATCAGTTTTTATTTCTTTGATTCAATAACTCATTGAAGAACTGCAATAGACTAGAAAGTGCCTAAAAAGAAATAAATTAATTGCAAAAGAGCAATAAATAAATAAGCCTGAAGTTATTCAAAAGGGGGATACATATTTGTGCTTTCAAGAGCTTTGATGGTTACTTGTTAAGATTTTGGCATAAATGGAAAATATTTTCAATAATAAAGAAGTGTAGTGTAGTGTACATATGGTAGTGATAAGAATTAAACCTCGAAAATATTAGGCATTTATAGATAGATTGATTATTCACTCCGTTTGATTTACACATTTGTTTTCAGTGAACTACCGAGTCATGCCAAATCATTGATCAATCGAACCAGTCATCCATTCAAACATGATTTTTTGAGCTGTGGCGCCACCAATCGATTCTAAATTCGTGTGCCGTCGTCGGCTGTCAGTCACTAATTGCCGCTTCTCATTTCCCGTGCATCAGATGATGAGACAACCCTGAGATGATTTGGCACGACACCGTGGATGCGGATGCGGACACGGAAACGGAAACCAAGACCCCCATCCCAGGTCCCACAGGCCCTCCCGGCGAAAGTCAACGCACAAAGGATAATCCTGCGGGATGGCGTGGCATATACTCGACTTTAAATGCACCCATTTGCGGGTAATTTACGGCACCAGAGCCATTCCAAAAATGAACTTTGATGTTCCTAATGGCTTTCCCTGTTTCGTTTTCTTTCTTTTGTTGTGGAATAGAAAATAGAATAGAATAGAATGTGCCAGCGATATATGCACGCACATAAACATTGCGCAGAGTCACTTTGACCTGGTATCCTGTTAGCCATCGACCCGTGACCTCCTCCGCAGTCGACCCGCCACCCGCTACCTGGCCCCTCCGCCGCCCCGAAAGGACCAGGTTATTGTTTTCGTTTCTGTCAAGTCTTCCGACTTGACTTTGCTGCGGGCTGTTTTTCCACGCCAACGGGCGGCAGGATCCCGAGAAGGTCACACAGGCTCGCCGCAGGAGTGCTGCTAAGTGTCGACAGGTAAGTAACGATGCCGCTGTCCCACTTTGCCGAGTGTCGAGTAGCAAGTCACGACAATAAATACCCGGTACCCGGTACCCGGTTCTAAAAAATTAGCTCCAGCGAGCTTTCAAGAATGACTAAAAGAATTTGATTGTACTTTTCAAAAGACCTAAAAAATATCCTGTATTTTTTAAAGTGTACTTTGTGGGAACCATATATATCCTGTATTTGAAATCTTTGAAAAATGAAGGAATTAAAGATTGAGAAAAACTATTGAACACATCTTTTGCTAAAATTTTTTAAATCCAGTAGATACCCGATATATACCAGATAGTGTCAAGTAGTACAGGATCTGCAGATACCCGGTACTTGACAGAGGAAAACAGTCCTAAGAAGAATACCACTATAGGGCGGGGCAAACTAAAATCGGAGGTCAGCAAAAAATTTTAAGACCTGAAAGATACAAACTACTTTACTTAAAGAATCAAAGAGTAAACTATCTCGACTATTGATACTCACTACTTGGCACAAGAAAGAAGATAGTTTAATAATAATTAAACTATGAAATGAAGTAGATTCACCATAGGATTTTGATTTGGTCAATTATACCAAATTATAACCCGATACCCGACACTTTTTTAAGACGAAAACTAAGCAGATAGTATATAAGTACGCTGCCGAAAAACAAATATTGAGCTATGACACCCGATACCTGAATAGCTTTAAAATTAATAAATGTATGACTCAAAATTGAAGTGACAACTTAAAAGAAATCAGTGAAATGCAAATAATGCAAATTCCGCCACGACAATAGTTTTCCAAAACATAAAAAAAGGATACAATTTAATTCAAAATATTCCCCAACAATATGCCCTGTTCCATCCATTTACAGGGAATATTAAACACACAACCCCGGAGCCACAACTAGTGGCTTAAGCAGTAGATTCTTGGTGCAGATGATGGCCGGGCACTTCCTCTCGGCAGTCTCCTCCATTGACTTGTTTTTACCTTTCAAGACCAGGATAATGCACCTGATTCCGATGGCTTGGCTTTCCAGCAATTTAAAGGGGTTACCCCGCCCCGGTCTTCGGCA